CACCTCCCCCGGCTCCGGCCCCTCTTCGCCGTGAGGGAAAGCCCTGGCTGCCCCCGACTCCGGCCCTGGGCAGAGGAGACTCACAACCCGGCTTTGGTGCCAGCCCTGCCTGGAGCCCAGGTTGAGAGAGGCTGAAAAGCAGCCCGGCGCGCGTAGCGGGGAGGGCGGGAACCCCCGGGGTAGAAAGCAGGCCTGGCTCGGCCTAGGCCCCCCGCCCCAAACATCTCCAGCGATGGGGAGTGCGCAGCGTCCCCGGGCGCCTGGTCCTCTGCCTCCCCGCTCTCACAGTGAAGACCTTTCCAGGTATCCATCTAAACTTAACTTTGCTGCAACTTCGAGCCATTGGTGCGCCTCCTCTGCAGAGCGAGAGAGACCAGATGCTTTCCCTGTTCTTTCTGACAGTCGTTCGAGCTCGGGCGCCCCAGGCCCAGCGCGCCAGGGCTCGAAGGGACGGCTCCACCCCATGCCTAGCGGGCTCGGGCTTCGCTCTCTGCTCTGGCAGACCACAGGGCTTCTTCAGAGGCAGCGTGGGAGGAAGCGGCAGCTGCGTAAGCCCTCCGTGTGCCTGCAGCTGCTTTCTACAGGGGAGTCTTCTCCATTCCTTCCCCGGCAGGGAGGTGGTGGCTGAGAGTCGAGGCCTTGAGGAAGTGGGGGCGAAGGCTGTGGTCTATGGTTTTTCTTTTTGTTTAAGAGTAGTTTTTATCTCTGTTTCTCTGATGCAAATGTATTCGCCAACTGGTGTGTGGTGCCCACCTGCTCCAAGCGACGCGAAGGCACCACTGGACGGGAAGCAGGCATTGGATGCTTTTTAAAAACCAGAAGGTTACCATGTGCGTGAGCTCGGGGTATTGCATGTTTCCCGGTTAGTGACAGTAGGATGGGGAAGCGCAGCACTCGCTGCGTTTGATCATCCAGGGCATTCTGTCTGTTGAAGCCGTGCTGCGTTCCTCACTCTCTGCTGCTTGCAGCCAATCCCTGTAACGAGAGGGGCTCAGTCAGGGTTTTCCGTGATAAGGCTTGAAAAGTCCATGGACCGGTGATGGGAGGATGCTGACTGCTCGGTGCAGTGTCTCGGTGCTCAGAGTTAATCTAAATACCAGCATACTGCATCGACAGGACTCTCTAGAAAGGTCCAGACTGGCTGCAAAACCTCTTTGGAAAGTAATAGGAAACAATCTCAGCTGGTTTGTTTTGCTGCCGTTTGGGAAACCTCCGAGAGCAGAGAGGCTGAGAAGCTCTGTGTATGAATGGAGGATGTCAGGTGAGGGTCAGTGTATGGGGCAATCCAGCTAGTGGAGTTGTGACTCGCAGCAGCTAGAGGGTGGGAGCAGGTAGGCTGTCAGAGGTCCTTCTCTCCCAGAGTTGGGAGGATCTGGGAGTGTGTGGAGGGGAAGATGTTCTTGCAATTCAGTAACTGAACGGGCTAAAATCACATGCTCAAGTTTTACCTGCAAAAAAGCATTTCTTCTTGAATCTTTCCCATTGCTGCTGCTGGACCAGCTCTGGTGGGAGTGCTGGTCTGGAGGGTTTTAGTCACCGTGTCATCTGAGTCTGGCTAGATACAGGTACAGCTGATGCTGTATGCATACCAGATTTGATGTTAGAGAAATGCTGGGAATCTAGTACAGGCAAGGCCTTAATGACCAGAAGTTAGTTTACGTCCAGAATGTAGCAGAGATCCCCAGAACTGGGGTCTTGAATGTACCCTGATAAAGATGCTGCTGTCTTGTCTCTCGGCTTCTGATGTTGAGCTTTTCTCCAGTTTTCCCCCTGGGTATTGTTTGTCCACATTGCGAGACATCCAGGGTCCATCTTCCATTGTGGACTGTAGTTTTAGAGTGTAATCCTGGCCCCAGGCACAAGGATTTCACCGTTATCTTCTGGCAAATATTTAAATCCTTGTCTGAGTAGTAGTGTAATAATGGAGTTCTGCAAATCCCGTTGGTTAAGTCCATTTTTAAAAAGGGGTTCACTGTAGCTAAGTAAGTAGATGTGGTTTTGTGTTCAGACACAGTATGTGGGCACAGCAGCAGCTGATAAATAATTCATTTTACCCATGTGATGAATTGCTCTGCAGTTTTTCATTTCTAATAATTTTTACGCAGTTTATGCCCTGTGCACCCTCTAGTGTTAGCTGTATCCATCATTTTGTCCAACAACACTTATTTTACCTAGGTTTTAGATGCATTTAACAGAAAAATGTACTACTAGTAGGTTTCAAGGAGTTTAAGACCAGGAGAAATCATTAGATCATTTAATCTGACCTGTTACAGGCCATTAAACTTCACCTGTTCGCACCAGTACTGAGCCTCGTATGCTTGGGTTTTAAGCAAAGTATAACCTGTCCTTAGCTAAAGCTTAACTTTGAGGAAGGCATCCAGTGTTGATTTGAAGACCTCAGGAATGTCATTAAGAACAATTTAAGATGTTATGACATTAAGCTGCATTGTGCTTATATTGTGACTGCCTAGCATGTATAGCTTTAACGTTCAGTCATCAGCTCAGAGTATGCGCTGTTAGATTTCAGCTTCTGTTCCTCATATTTGTGGAAATAGGTGCTTAATAGTGGACAGGTCTACACATGCTCCCCACGGCGCAGTTACTGTGCCGTCATTTAGTTCTTGCTTTAGGAAGTACTAAATGACGGCACAGTAACAGCCATTACTGTGCCGTCCTAGCGGCACGTGGTTATTTTTAGCAGCTGCATCGCTGTAGTGATGCGCTATAGCAAGGTAGTTCGTTGCTACGGCAGTGTAGCATTGGCCTCGTGGTTTGTGCCCGCCAATGCTTCGTTGCTGTAGCTTGTTGGTAGCGTCTCATGTAGACGCGCCCACTGATATGGGATTCAGTGGCTTAGAAAATTGGCAGTCTGGAGACTGAGTCTCACCTTTCATGGGTTCAGGTCTAGCTCGCGCGGCAGCTGAAACCTGTTGTTGCCTAAAGGCTATTTGTAGCCTGTTTTTACAGAATTGATAGTACAGATCTTGCTGGCAAGAAATAATATTTCAGAAAACAAATTTACAGGTAAAGTCTCTTGTGGCCTCCAGGTGAAATTATTACTTGGTATAGATACAAATGATGAGAGTTCAGTGTTAGATCTCGCAGTGGCGAGGAACAGGATTCAGCCAAACATCCCAAATGGTGATAAAGCTGCAGCGTGAACCTCAGTTCCACTGTTGCTAGAATAGCTGATGTAGCGGCCACTGAGTTTTCTACTACTCGGCCCTCACACAGCATGCAAGGAGCTGCTGCCGTCCCTTGCTCAACTCTTCTACTTGCTAACCCACAGGTAGCTTAGATTCTCCAGATACCTTAAATTCAGTAGCTTCCACATCAAAGTTATCCTTCCCCTGAAGGATGATGGGGCCAGATCCAAAGAAGCAGTTGGGCAACATGTTGGTGCTGGCTTCCACAACGGGCATCCTGACGATTCTGCTCAGCTCTAACCAGGGTGCCTGAACTTGGTTAGTACCTAACTTTTAGACCAGTGGTTTTCAACCTTTTTTTCATGTGTGGACCCCTAAAAAATTTCAAACGGAGGTGTGGACCCTTATGGAAATTTAAAATAGAAGTGTGGACCCCTCTGAATTGTAAGTGTAGGTATTCACATACTTTTGATAGATAACTGTCATCTTTTGCAAACTCTGTAGACATAGTCTGCGGGCTCCCAGGGGGTCCATGGACCACAGGTTGAAAACTACAGTTTTAGACCATAGAGTTCCGCAGAGGCATAAAATTGTGCCTAGAAACGTCTACAACTGCCCCTGCCCTGACGGGGAGGATCAGCTCCTTGCTTGTTTTATGAATATTATTAGACTCCTTGAAAGTAGGCATTTCTGTGACTGAAGGGCTTGCTTTTGTAGGTAACATGCACCAACAGAATCAGACTTCACACAAAATGCAGTTGCAGGTGCCATACCATGTAAAAACCCAGTCAGAGGAGTCACATGCTGCCACATAGTGGTTAGGATTTTTGTGAACGATATCTTCTATTGGGCGAGTTGCATGCTTGGTATAAAGTTAAGACAAGCTTCTGAGTGGAAAGTTAGAGCATTCTCCAGGTGGAGAGAAACCTGGGCTACATTCCTGCCCCTGCCAAAGGGGATTCAAACCACTATAGCTCACTCCAGGATAGTGCCTTAATTACTGGGCCATAGGCTGGTGTGGGTGGGGGCACCCTCCACCCTTCCTGTCGAAGCGGAGCTGAAAAGAATGCAACAGTCAGTGAGCCAGAAAGAGTACGAGAGTGAGCTCGGCTGTGCAACCTGGTGACAGCAGGGGAAACAAGGGTCCTGGACTTCCTTCTCATGAGTATCTGTGTATTTTACCAGTCCCGGAGAAGGAGATGAGATGAGACCCCCTAACCCCTGGGTTCCTACATAAAGGGCAGCATTGCCTTCTCTGCTTTGTTTTAAAAGCAAGGCCCACTCAGCTCTTTGAAACAAAAGGCATAGGTACCTACTGTTAGGAGAGGGTTTGGGGCTGTGGCACCAGAGTGTGCAGAGGTACCTCCCTGGAGTCTGGAACAAGAGACCTGAGCAGTAAGAGTGCCTGGCTCTCGCCTCTTATCTCTTGGCGAGCTCTAGGCACACTTTTCCCAGCCTGTTTGGGATCACAGTGTGAGCCCTGCTAGGTGCCCTGAGCAGCGTGTAG